AAGAGGGAGGAAAGGTGACAAAGTGACAATGACGATTTAGGAAACTTCACTATGCCTTGGATGTGCCACAGAATCCCCTGAAAAGGGATTAAATATGCTTGCCTAATATTAATGTTCAGACTCCCTTGAGGTACCAAGTATGCTGAGCTATGGAAAAATAACCTACACACCGTGGGGAGAAGTAATATCTACTAAACATTTGCGTAAGCCAAATTATAGACAACAATCCCATGAAGCAGGTACTATATTATTAACTACATTTATAGATGAGAAAACCAGGGCTCAAAGGGATTAAAGTCACATTAGTTTGGATCTCTGAGTAATTAGATGGGGGCGGAGTCTCTGCCCTCCTATTGCCCATCCAAACCCACAATGGCAGCATGGGTCCAAATGGAGATGCCTTTGAGAATCCCCATCTCAGCAGGTTACAGCACCTCCCGCCATGACACCAGATAGCCTCTTTAGAGAATATCTAAATTTCTGTGTTCTTATTTCTGAACTATGACATTCTGAAACACTTTTTGACTTCAAAATTAGTCTTTCTCCTGTCATTGCAACAATAATATTTTTGTTAGGAAGGAGGGTTCCAGAATCCATAAGCATTGGCTTTCTTGGTTTTCTTTTGCTGGAAAACATGGTCAGGTCCTAGAGTTTTTTTTTTCTTTTCTTTTTTTAACCCTCACCTAAATTGTAAGGTGACAGTACACTCTATAGAAAGAAACACCTTTAAAATGGTAGAAAATGCACTCCATCATAAAACAAAGTTCAAAGCTGTGGACCAGTGACTTGGCCTGGCTCCACACTGGATTCCCTGGTATTATTTGTGTCTTAAAAAAAAAAAAAAAAAAGGGAAACCAAAAGAACGTGTGTTTGCTTTCTCCCCTTGTGGCATATCTTACCAACAACACAATGTTCTCCCTGTTGCTTGAAAGGATCAATAAATGGGTATCGTCAGAATGGGTTGTAACTGGATACGATTATGAGGATTAGTGCCTTTAATCTCCACTGAGCTGCCAGGAAGTGTGATGCTATAATATCTTTTTTTAAAAAAAATATCCCCGACAGGATATTCTTGCTAACTGGACCATTTGTTATATTTGGAAAGCTGCTCGTACTATGGCAGCTTGTCAGGATCTTGAGGTGGGGCATCCCAAGGTGTACTTTTACATGGTAAGTTCTAGAAATTTCTTTGATGGGGAGAGGGTGACTTGGTGCAAGAAAAGAGAAAGTAATTCAGATGTCAGCTTTGGCAATTATTTTACAGAACTATGGCAGCCTGGAAAGGTTTTGGTCTTTCACAATTCTGACTGGCAGATGCTAATAGCCATTCACAAACCAGTTTTCTTCTGTTTCCTGAGTACCCAGTATGGATACATTTTCTGGCATCCCATGTAGGAAAGTGAAAAGTAGGAATGAGTGCTACTGCCAGGTGTGGCCCTTGAAAACCTGCCCAACCATCCTCTACTGTTTCTCCCCTCTCTGATTTACAGGATAGAGATAACCTCCCGGGCTTATGTTCAAGATAACACAGCCCTCTGAATCAGTGACCCTGAATGCACTGTAGGATTCCACAGTCTAACTTCCTCTAACTAATATACCACCTAATAATTGGCTCCTGAACCATTTATGTCTCTACCACTAGTCCTGTTAATCTTATCTCTTAAATCCTTCAAAAGTATCCTTCACTCTCTGGATAAAAACCTAAATGGGACCATAATCTATGAAAGACCTGGCCCTTGCTGGCCTCTACTTCCCAGTCTCATATACTCCTTTTTCTCTCTGCCTTCCAGACTATCAGTCATATTTTTTACACCAGCTATATTTCACTTTTTAAAATGCAGCATTTTCTTTCTGCCTCAGGCCTTTTGTGCATGCTGTTCTGAATGGCAGGAATGCGCTGTCCTCCCTTGATCTTTTGTTTTCTACGTAAGTTCTGAACTCTTATGAAGCAGAGAACAAGGATGAGAATGGTATGATGGGTTGGATCATCCTCAAGAAAAAGCCCCACCATACTCATGGCTTAATGCTTTT